ATATAAAAATGTTTGTCATAATCATGTCTTGTGATTATTTGACAGGAGTTTTACTTTTAAAATGTAAGGGTATTTAATTTAGTCATAATGTAAATTCAATAAAAATTAAACCAAGATTTAGAATAATTATCATTTTGATTCATACATTGGTAATGTGTGACTGGGCTTCATGTCACTTTATGTTCAATAAATTGGGCCCCGAGGTCAAAAAGGTTAAGAACCCCTGATTTATATAACACTATTATTTGGCTGAGCGGTGACTAAATCCAGAGAGCTCAACAGTTTTCAGTCTCCACCCTCTGAACACTGAACCTGATCACCTCTCTGAGTAAGAAATATCCTGAGTGGGGCGTGACCTTGTGTCTCACTCTCTTTATGTTTAAAACCTTGACCTCTCGGTCTGTTAGAGAATCCACAGACTGGCTCGAAGAACCATGACCCACAAAGTCTCACACAGGGCAACTAATAATGACTCTTCCACAGTAAACACACACATTTTAATTGGACATAAAGAATATACAGTAAAAACAGTAGTTCTGTAGTAAAATAGGAAAAAAATAACCAATAACACAGCAGTTTATTTTCAGAACCGCACTATTTGATTTGACAAGAAATACTCATCAGGAACCAACAATAACTTCTTTAAAGTCTTATTTATCTGTCATTTGATCTATGTGTAGAAAAAACACTGGTTAGTCAAAACACAGAATCTGAACATCTGAGGGACGTTTTATAGGAAAAATATACCAAACACAAAGGTGCTCTCAAGGAGTAAACCCTGGTTCTGCTCAGAGACTCTTCCAGAACCTGGTTCACATCAGCCACTTGTCTTTCTCCTTGTTGAAGTTTTCAGCCCACTGACGTGTGAGCTGCAGGTAGTGGTCTGGTTGGTTCGGCTGGTAGTCCAGGTACAAACGAGTCAGAGTTTTCTTGGGTACGGCCCGTTCTATCTGAGTGCCTTCGTGCCACTGGTTGAAGGACGTGATGGTGACGATCTCTGGTCTGACCGAGAGAGCCGCCTGCAGGGACGTCTCGTAGTAACGCCCGTTGACTCGGTTCCTGGTGTTGTGGTTGTTCCACGGGCGCACCGCCGTGTCTACATACCCCGGTCCCACGCTGGGGATAAATAGCAGATTGTTTGCGTCGCAGAAGGTCTTGATGGCTTTCCAGTTCTGGTGCGATGAACCGAAGGAAAACCCATTGGAGGCGAAGTAGGTGTATATCCCATCAAATCCACTTTCCAGGATGTCGTGTTTGTGGCGCTCCTCCACAATGAGGGCAACAAAAACCCCATCGTAAGGCGTACCTCTGACGCTCTGAGAGCCTTTAGCTGTCAGGAGCTCTGCCCAGGACTCAGGTGGTGTCAGGTAGGAGTCATAGATGTAAAACAGAGGCAGGACTTGTCCTGTGCTTCTCCTGAATCTGTAAAAGGCATCGTGTTTTCCATATCTGAGAACACAAGAGGAAACAATGCATTTAGTTGTTGAACAGTGAGGAGGGTTCTAATCTGTCTCACAAAATTCACAGCAGTTCTCAGTTGYCTGGCATGGTTCCACTGGTTTTTCTCTTAACCCTGTACCACCATTTGTATCACATTTGCCACGCAGGATTCTGTGACCTATATTTTATCAATGTGATCATTTTTTTTCCCTCAGACTCATCTACAGTCCTGCCAAATTTCATGTTGATCGGTGCAGCCGTTTTTGTGGTACGGTTGACCACAAATCACTGAAAAAAAGGGAAAAAAATAAACAGTACAAAAACAATATGACTCCCGGTTACGCTTCGCATGTGGGGGGTCATAATAATGTTAAACAATCAGTTTGAGCGCCCTAGTGGGGAAAAAATGAATGTTCACCATTACTCACACGTTCATTAGCTGTTTTGACTTGTTAAAATGTTTTTATTTTATTTATTCAGCTAACGGCTCTTATTAATCTAAAGCTCCGCCCCCTTGCATTAGACCACGGCCAAAAGTTTGGACCTAAAGAAAAGGTTTAAAAAGCAAATGAAGAAATGGTAAAAAACTAACACTAAACAGAAAAAACTTTGGGTTTTGTTACTAAAAACAAACAAACAAAACATATGGTTGCTTCACTTTGCTTTGTTTTAAATATAGTTTCAAAGTTCAATATTAAAGCAGAACTGATCTCCAGGTCTATGGCAAAAAAAAWTTTCTTAAAGGGAATTATTGGACTCTTTGAACTGGGGTTTTGTTAACTGTTATTTTATTTGTTAGAGATAATTTTTCAACAARTTGAGTTTGAAGAAACTACCGTATTTTTCGGACCATAAGCCGCGACTTTTTTCCTGAACTTTGAACCATGCGGCTTATAATCCAGTGCGGCTTATACGTGGATTTTTTTCTTCAGCCACCAGGGGGCTCTTATGCTGCATTTGCTTCAACCACTCGCTTCAAAAAAAGAAAGGAAAAGAAAGAAAGAAAAAAGCGATCGCTTCCAGAGCCGACTGTTGTACCAKGAAGCAGCGATTTAAAGATAGTCAATGGACAAAAACTCATAAAAGGGGATAAAACAGACATTTTTCACGGTGGAATCTSACAGATAAAAACTTTGGAGCTTAATCCAGGACCAGTTTGTGGATAAACGTCGAGTGAAGAGCCGCAGACTTTTTTTTCCGCATTACACTCCCCGGGGAAGGAATCCCATGCAGTGACGTATGCTGGAGCRGGAGGGCTTTCCCAGCAGCTCGGCTCGGGGTTTCTCGGGGGAACTATGAAAGGTCAGTGCGAAAACAAACGCTGAACAATCGTGCGACGGCACGTCAACCGGTCGACAGCTGAGCGGCCATACTGCCAGCTTAGCCGGAGGTGTAGCGCCATTTWGTTTTAGCTAGTAGCAGACACGACAYGACKGATCTTCGACAGACAYGAWATTGGACAGTATGTGGGCCCACATCAYKGATTCGGTGAAAGCAGCCATCAAGAAAACAAACTCAATTCCTGCTGTTATTCCTGGAGGTACAACAAAGTTTTTACAACCCCTGGACATCAGTGTGAATCGTGTATTTCAGGGGTGTCAAACTCCTGTCCTCGAGGGCCACTATCCTGCATGTTTTAGAGGTTTTCTTGCTCCAACACAC